GAATTTTGGAACCAGTGTTCTCTAGTCACTCTTGGTGCCCTCGTATAGCTTTTTAACCATAAACTGACAGATGCGCCAGGCAGATGTGAGGAAAGGGGTGGGTCCAAGGGCTAGGCATGGAGTCTGGAAGGTAGGGCTGGGTTTCTAGTCAGGCTAACCTGGTTACTCACTGGTTCTCAGTTGTCCTCTTTCTTTGTAAAACGGAAAGACTTGCCCCCAGGAATATGTGAAAATAGATGAGACATTAGATGAGAAAGAGAATAGGATGTTTTGGAAGAGTGTATGAGAATAGGGCATCATCAACCAGCTTTTCCTTGGCCCTTGTGATTTTATAGGAAGTCCTTCGGGAGTCCTTCCTATGTATTAAAATCCGTCCAGGCAGGACTCACGCCGGGTACTGGTTTGCTTTCTGCAGGAGAAAGCTTCGGGCTGATGTGACCACTGCTTTCCCCACTCTTGGAAGAGATCAGGTCCCTGCCTTAGTACCTGGAAAGGAAGAGCTCAACGTTGTGAAGTTGTATGCTCACAGAGGGGATGCAGTGACTGTGTACGTGTGTGGTGGTAACCCCATCCTATTTGAACTGGAGAAAAACCTGTATCCAACAGGTATGTCAATAGGATGGAGATGGCCATTACTATCATCCTTGCCTAACATCTGTTTCTCCTTCTTTCTTTCATTAAACTGCCTTACTTAAAACGTGAAGTGCAAAATCTCCCAATATCATCCCTAAGGATCTTTTTGGACCCAGTGTCCCTAGAATTGGGTCTTTCAAGATCAAGAACTGCTACAGGAGGGAGAATAACAGGGCTAACACAGGAAGAGGATAAGTTGGCAAGGGACGTTCTGAGATGAAGGAATAATAATTCATAGTGGGTTAAGTAGGGATGGAGCAGAGGTCTTGAAAAGGGTGGGATTTCAGGACATGTAAAAAATATTCTTAAAACTTCATTAGCAGGATTTTCTTAAGAAACTGAAGAGATACGGTGATAGGAAGGAAGCTAGGTTAATTAAACTACATACCCAGCTGTCTTACTGATGTACTTCAATCGAGATACCTCACAGGATTCTTTCTGAGGCTCTGCCCGGCTCTCAGGATCCTTTGCTTTCTCTCTTTGTCACAGATCTCAGACGTTCAGTGTCCTTTTCTCTTTTCCGTAGCTGCTGACGCCTACTTTGTCACTTGGGGCTCTTCTCCCCCAAGCTTGGCTGCAGCGGCGCAACGCGGTCGCCTTCGGTTCCCTGCACCCCCACTCCACTTGGCGGCTCTACAGACAGGCCCTTTTTGATCTAAGGTTTTACTGCTAATCACTGTGAACACAGAGGGAATAAAAATAATAAACATGGGGAGGTTTCAACATTTCCTACAGGCTGGCGCCCTGTTCTTCGCTTACTTGCTTCTGAGGTCACAGATGGAATCCTTGTTGGGTCTCTGTCCCCGCTTTTATCTACCGTGCCCAATGCTGCTGCCGCATCCAGGTGGAATCATAGGGGCCTCCCAGTCTCGAGTGACATCCAGTTTTTTAAGTATCTGCCTGCTTTAAGAAGGAAACCTCTTTGGGCCTCACAGCCTCCCCTCTAGCTTTGAGTTGAGTTTCTTTTCTATTTCTTAATTTAAGTGCCCTTAGTGTTTGGCTTGCCAGTTCCCTAGGGGATTGACCTTTTGGCAATAAGTCTTTCTGTGTCTCTTTTTGGGCAGTATACACCTTGTGGTCCTATCCTGACCTTCTCCCAACGTTCACAACATGGCCTCTGGTGCTCGAAAAACTGGTCGGGGGAGCAGGTAAGAGGATTTTCCTATATTCTGGCTGTTGGCCAAAACCTACTTAGTAAGGGCCAACTACTTTAATATATGTACCCATTTCCTGTATTCATACAATTGAAAAATGGAATTTTTTCCCCATGTGTGTTTCCTCCCTCACTTGGCTGCTTCCATAAGGTCCCTGGGCCGCTAGGACTCTGTTGAAAGGCCTCAATAAGCTTCGTACTTTGTACTTAAATCAGAAAATGCTTTGTGAACCATATGCTATACTTTAAATCAATAAGCTAAATTTTGGAAAGCAGAATAAGCGATCATGGAACCTGACTGTCAGCTTGGTGCTTCAGTTTGACCACTAGCCCCCCCAAAGGGAAAAGGTCTGATGCTTAGGTTGCATTTCTTAATTTTCATTATCAATAACCTAGTTGATACTTCATGAGTGTTTGTTGGTTGAGTGAATGCATAAATGATGAAGTAAAACTTGGAATTGGTTAGAGGCACAATGTGCGTCGTGATGCTTTTGTCTTGTTTGCCGCAGATTTGATGCTTCCAGGCCTGGTGGTGCCCCCTGCTGGTCTGCCGCAGGTACAGAAGGGGGACCTCTGTGCCATTGCCTTGGTGGGGAACAGGTACTGTGCCTGTCCGCTGTGCCTTTGGGGGGAAAACTTAGGTAAAACT